TACTCCACAATATTGTGAATTCAATTCTGATGAACAGTAGCTTTAGATCATGAATCAAAGAGAAATCAAACAGTGCCACTCTGGTGATGTGTTTCAATGGTAAATAGTAGGTGGGCTGTATTTGTAGAGCACTTTTTCAGTCTAATTGACCAAACAAAGCACTTTCCAAGTCCCATTCACTCATTCACACATACACTCCTACAGTGCTTTTTTCTATCCTATCTGTCAGGGGGTTCAGTATCTTGCCCAAGGACACTTCTGAATTCAGACAGGAGATGCCTGGGATAAAAAAAACATTCTCAATCATTCTTTTTTGGTTATGTTGATCACTGATATAACACCCTTGGTCCAGACTGAAACAACTACTGGATGCAATGTCAATAAATTTTGTGCAGACATTCAATGTGTCCAGATGATGTATCTTAGGTCTTATGACCAAATACCTGCAACATGAATCAAATTCCCATCAGCCTCAGCTTGAATTGTGTTAAGTGATAATTAGCGAATGACTGACTAGAATGGCGACGGACTCCAAGCCTAAATACACTATTATAATTTTAAATCTCTAACCCTGAAATGTAAAAACGTCCTGACCCCAGTTTCCTCGGCTGTACCTACTGCCCCGCTTCAAATTCATTCTTCTTTTCGGCCTTGAAGTTGACCTGAGAAATATTCAGAGATACAAATGCAGGCGTGATCATTGGCCAAATCATACAGAAACAATTTGTATGTATTTGCATGCATTTCTTTGCCTGCTAAGTATTAGGCTGCTAACATTCTTCTCCCCAGGTATTCATCCAAAGCAAAAGCTCATCTCTACACACAGAGGGCAGGTGTAACTGAGCTTGTCTGGTCACAGCAGTAAGAAGTGAGTTCCCAAGGCTGGTCTCCTTCTTGTAGAGCAAACTCATTATTCTGTTGTCAGTGGATGAACTTAATCCAATGTACAGGCCTTGGGCTCAGTTGGAATTTGTCAAGTAAATAAGAAGACTAATGGCACATCTCCTTATCAGTGGTGTTTTTCAACTGTGGTAATAAATCTACTGACTGACACCAATGTATCATCTAATTACTGGGTTTTAACCATACAAAAAAGCTGTTTGTGTTTGCTGTGTATTTGTGTGTGCACGTGGGTGCGTGTGACAGAAATGTTGTTTCTGGGTGAAAGGAACCACATGTCCTCTTTTACATCCAGATACAGAGACTATACCATTATTCGAATAATATATTTGATAAATTGCACTTTTTTCAATTTAGGAAGCACCCCTGAAAATATTGTTTATACATAAATGATTTGAGGCTAGTTGTTTAAGTAGTCGCACCTGTAACTCCACATCTATGCAATTATTATATATTATATATCCCATATCTTCCTGCCATCAAATGCCTTGACTCTGGCCCTCTTATTCTCTTGTCTTATTGCTTTTTTTTTTAAATGTAAAAATTCTTGCAGGGGGTAAAAAGAAGGAGTGGGAGAGATACAGAGAGGAGCGTTGGGCATTAGAGAGAAATGTTTTGCATGGCCTGGAGCCTATCGGGTAATAAAGTCATTAATTCAGCTGATTAACTTGGCCTTTAGGTTAAAGAAAAATCATATCCATCTCCCTTTGAGATGTGACTGGGGAAGCACAGAGGAGGGAGAAGCCAGCTAATTAGTGCTAAAAAACAGGAGGGGGTCTTGAGAATGAGATGGGAGATGGTGGGAGAGAGAGAAAGGAACTGTGTGTGTGTGAGAGAGAAAGACATGAAGTTTGTGCAGATAGGTGTTTCGACTGAAATACTAATGATGCATGTTTGGGTTGAGGGAGGGCCAAGCCCATCAAAATGCCAGCTTTCTCTCAAAGACGTTGCCCAACTACCTTTGCCTTACGCTGCCACTAAATGATGTAAAAAAGGAGAGGGAGAAGTTGGGGTGAGATGTCAGTATGCGTGCGGTTTAATGAGCTTGTTGTTGTTGGATGCATGAGAAGAAAGGATGGCGAAAAGTGTAACAAGAGATCCAGCACATATTCCTTGGAGCAATGGTAAATGTTATTTATATAGGGCTTTTCTAGTCTGGATGACCACCCCAAGCACTTTACAGTACAGGTTATTGCCATTCACCCATTCTCACACACTCAGTGCTTCTATGGGAAGCAATGTGAGTTTCAGTATTTTACAATGACGTCCTCTTCATGAATGCATTACCTTCTGAAATTACAGTGTACAATACAACATATGTAAACAGATCATATAAAAACTGTCACCTCAACTGACTAAGTGGAATTGTACATAATTCAGTGCAATGAAAATTTTAGTTTGGTCTAATTTTTGTCTGATGGATTAAGCTGCTATATAACCAGGCCCAATGCCAAAATTCTTACTACTAGGATACCCTCAGAGTCATCAGTCAACAAAAGTGAGCTAATGCCTATTCGCTGTAGTGACCCAGATGGGCTTACTGAAGTTCCATTTAAACTGATGATGGACAAGTTTACACACTTGGGACTGGAGATCACTTTTTTTTTTATTTCTTATTAAAAGCAAATTTTACACCTATACTCACCAAATTTAAAAACAAATTTTGGTTTTCTTCCAATTTCTCTGAAAGGCAGAGTAAATGCAGTTAAGATGATTTGTCTCCCTCAATTACTATACCACTTTCAAAATGTACCTATATACACTATATGTTTATTTTATATTTATAATAAAGCCAATTTAAAAAAAAATTGGATACCATAATACTCACATTTATATGGAATTATTAATCCCATAGAATTAGAATTTGTAAATTTAAATCTCTGTGAGGGTTGGCCCTATCTGATTTCATGCACTATTATCTAGCGGCTAACATTTGATGTGTGTCATTATGGTTA